CCCTACAAACGGCACCAGGAGCTTGAAATTTTAGAAGATTAAGAATCTTTATGTCCTGCTTTTAAGAGATTGGTGTATCAGCGTGATAGGAACTGCTTCCTCTGGGCATGGTCTTCATAGGACTAGTGATGAGCAAGAATAATTTCTCTGCCAAGGAGGAAGAGGAGAGTGCAGGAGAGAGGTATCTGTGGTTGCATGGGGAATGTGAGTTGGGATAAGCCAGAGGGGAACGGAAAGCAGCAATGCCACCCAGACAGACCATGCTTCCGGCTGCTTATCCATATACTGGGTGCCATTTCAAAATTACCAAGGATACTTTTTAAAGAAGAAAGCATGCTACTTCTTAGACACCTCAGATCTTTGACATTTTTTGCTAATAATTGATTTTGATGCAATCCACCTGGTGAGTCTCCCTGAGCGACTATCATTACGTGGACAGCTGTGTCCCGGCGAGCAGAATTTGAGGCAAATCTCAGCTCTCTCTGCTGTCCTCCTCCCTCCCCGACAGCGTGCACACACGACCTGCCGGCTCCAGGCGGGGGTAACTGGACGTGCCTCCCATCTGGGCATGGGTTAGATACTGTAGGACCTAAGGAACCATGGGTGCACCTGAACTGTGGGGCAGGTGCGGTCTGTGGCCTCATTGCCCGGATCCCTCACCAACGGAAGGAGGGGACGTGCTTGTCAGTGGTGCAGATTTGTTGCCAAAGGAGGCCACGATACAGGAGATGGGGAAAATGGTGGGGAAATGGGAAGCACCCTTACGGCTCACACTTCGCTCATCCCTGACCTGTCACAGATCACCTAGTCTTGCATGTGTCTGGTGACACCAGCCCTGGGATGGTGTACCTGCGTGATGTCCCATCTGCAAGAACATTCAGGCAAAAGTGAAAGAAGGATGTGGCAGAGAAGTAATGAACAGAACAACGCCCTTGCTTCCAGTTTGTTGTCTGTCTCTTCTTTTTCTTTAACGTGGACAGCTTTATGGATGGGAAATGTAATTAAAGGTTGGTACAAACTACTATGCAATACTTACTTGCTGCTTCTATGAACTTGGAATAGGTGTCGTAGGTGATCACAGGAATTGGTAAGTCTCTGAAGTACAGCTTCAGTGCTCCAGCAATGATGTTTATGTCTGGATAAATACTGGCAGAAATATCAGCCTTGTCACCATCTAGAAGAGGAGGAAGAAATCTTTTTGAAACCAGGATAATTTTGACTGAAGCAAGGCTAGGCTTCTAATTCAGATTTATTGTGTCCAACCTGACAAGAAAAAACAATCTGAAAGCATCTGGAAGGCTTAAATGAGAATATATTGCTACTAACTTTACAGTATATGAATGAGGAATGGTAGTTTCTTTATCTTTTAGTGAACAATTTATTTGCTTACATCTTTTGGAGAGGCTGGTGATTACATCAACAATATCTGCAGTGTACCATTTCACACATAATGTTTTAATGTTGGATGAAAATTCATGTTAATAATACATTCATTGAATTTGGCACATTTATTCACTGAAAATAAGCTATTAATAACTTATTCTGATGATGTATTTTGTATCCGCAGATCAACACACAGGAGCATGAACAATTCTCTTCATTTTCACTTGGGGAAACAGAGGCACAGAGAAATAACATAAATTTCCAATGACCCTCAGGAGACCAGTAGGAAAAATGAGACTAAACATCTAAATCTTCTAAGTCCTGCACCAATTTATCTATACTGATTAGCTAGTAAGAAAGCCGCCTTATTATCTGGATGTCCTCTAATGTCTTCATATTTGACTTATTTATTTATAGCAAAGATTTGAATTTAAATAGACATGCTATGGCATTTAGCTATACAATTTATTCTGAAACGTGGATCGCAATTTGTTAAATGAATATGGATACTTGTAACGGATGAACAGCTAAATAGATGAATTATGCAACTGAAATGACATAGATTTTGTTTGCTACATATTATAACACAGTTAGTCAGAACTCCATTACAGAGCACTTTTAATCACAGGAGCTTAACATTTACAAGTGTTGCCAGTAAGCCCTTGGCCAACGCGTGGCTTGCAATGAGCGAAATGACAAGAACTAGCAGAGAGGCTGGATCACTATTATTTTTCAAGTTCAATCTGTTCTGTACTACCTACTACCCTCATACCCACATTTTTCTGCAGGCCGAGAAATTCTGCTGTCCTCCCCTCCTGGGACCTGTCCTTGGCGGTCTTCCAGTAGAAAGACGGGGTAGGACACTGGTCAAGCAGGGGCTAAGGCTGTCTGGATTTAGTCCCCAGCTTTACCTCAGGCTTCTTGGAGATCAGTTGTACCCTGTAGTCCTTATTCCCCACCCTTCAAGTGACGATAATAGCACTTCCTTTGCAGGAGGTGGTGAAGATTAGGACCGTATGGTGAGCGGGGCGATGTGAGGTCATGCTTGCTTGAACAATGGAGAGGAGTTTGCTTGTATCTGCCAGGAGGTGCAAGCACAAGCTTGGGCTGTTACCACTGAGGCGCTGACATGCTGTAAAGCCATCGCCTTGCTTGTCTCGCAACAACTAGTGCTTGTAGACATGCCTTGATACAGACAGATGAGTGGGTGTGCTTGATACATGGCATCTAAGATGGTGATAAAGGCTTTCACAGCAGAGTAAAAGAGTTTATATTGATTGTAGACATTTTATACAAACCTATGGCATTAATCTTGAAGGGATACGTCCTGTACAATATATGCACATAATTCTCATTAAGACTAATAGCACTACATGTTCTCATCAAGAGGAGATTATATGCTTAAGTGTTTAAAACAAGCAGCCTTTCTTGATGCAGCTGAACGGTCTGAATACATCCATCAGCATTTAATTTAATACAGCATCAATAAGCCCTAGGAGGATGTTTACACTGCCCCAATCTTTTGTTTAATCCACACGTTCCAGGCACGGTAGCATTAGTCTTGTAAAGCTTTGTGTGGAGAGCTCTATTTAATTGATGGACACTGAGCACTCAAAATGCTCCACTGAAAACAGATACCTCCAAGAAGCCAGCAGCTGCATCAGAACAGATATAGCAAAGCAGAAGGTTGCATCTATTATCCAGGTCACCAGTACACTAAATGGAAGTGTTATTTATTTAGTACTCTTACAAAGCAGCCCAGCAAGCTTCCTTAAAGGGGCACTTCAGCTAGAGGTACTTCAAACTACAATGTACTTCAAACAGAACTCTTACTTATATATTCGCTTATGTAGGAAAAATGCATTAATTCCTGAGTCAAAGATTTTTCTTTTCACTTCAGAGACAAAGGTATATATATTGGAAAAGCACTGAAGATTATTTTAAAGTGAGCGTAACAATACATCTGTTATAATATACCTACACATCTCTGCATTGGGTACATAGGGGAAGGTGGATTTTTATTTTCCTGTGGTAGATTTTAGATTGTCTTTTTGTTTTTTCTTTCAGATTCAGCAATTGAAGGCCCTTCACAGGCTGCACTTATTTCTTATCGTCACCAAATTCCTGGATTTGTATTTTTATTTAAACACACTTCAAATTCAAAGCACTAAGAAAGAAAAGTGAATTCATTGCTGGTAAAGTCATGACACATATTTCACAGAGGATCCTCTGCAGTAGCATACTGTATGAACTACATCTATTTTATATGGTACCTTCTGCACTACCACAATCATTTTTTTCACTCTTCAATACAGTAACTTCCTCAGCTTGAAATTAGTATCTTCAGTGTCATTGCAGTGGCTGTATATTAATACAATCTTTTTTTTTTTTTTGTAATTTTGGATTACAAACATATAGTTCATTTCAGCTTCACAAACCTAATCCTACTCAAACACCATCATTTCTCTTTCCTTGTTACTTTGATTTCTCAATGTATTTTGTCGCATTATGTTGAAGTTTGAATGTCTCAAGACAAAGAAAGTCTTTATTATGTTCCTTAAAGATTCCAGCTGACTTTGGATGCCATAGAAATATAGCAACAGTTTATTAGAGAATGAAATTGAATAAGTATTACATTCTGAAAGCCTCAGCTATGCCCTCTGAATACTGAATTACATTTCTACTTAAGTTCCTTTTTCCTTAACGCTTTGTTTTTATTGCACAACCTGCTAACGTGCTTCTTTGTGTTTTTTCTTGGATTTGACATTTGACAGGTTTTCAGCTACACTGGCAAAAGAGTATGAGTTAGGATGTCTCTAAGTACTCATGTAATATTTAACAGCATAATATTTTTAGCAAGTGTATTGTACCAGCCAGTCATATAAACAAGTGGGGGGACAGAATGCACTGGTGACAATGGCAGCTCTGTGGATGAAGTGCACAATGAGGGTTTTCTGGATGCCGCAACGCCACAGCTCAACAATGCTGACAGAGAGCAACTGTCGTTCTACAGCACCAACATTCACCAGATTAAATAAATCCACATTATTCCCCTCCTTCTCATTACAAAAATCACTAAAAGGGAACATTGTCAGTGCCTCAGAGAGCCTAACGCTGATTTACAGTAGGGGTATTTACACTGCTTTGGCTTTGGAAGGGAGTCTTGGTTTAAATCAGATGAGGACCAACTTCTCCCTGTTTTAAAACCAACTATCACAGCTTCATTGGGCCCTAATAATATTACGTGGGATGCCATTCTCTTCCTGAGATGTTAACTTTCAAACCTGGCTTTGTTTTTCTGTTCTCGCTATAATTCTTTGGAAGCAGCAAGTGAGTGTCCCTTTGGCAAAGCAGAATTAGTCGGAGGGAGGGGAGGGCTGGCTTCTCTACATTGCACCCCTTCAGCTCCACAGGAAACCAGCAGGAGAGGTGCCCTACGGCCGAGTCAGCCCCTGCGCCTCATCCCTGCATCGTACTGTCTTCTGGCTCGTGTGGCTTGATGAAGAGCTTGGGAAACCAGAAAGTTCAATGGTATTATTTGAAGGATGCATCCTGTGCATTGAGATAGGAGGACTCCATGCTTATTTTCAAACCCATTTATTAAAAGCTGTATTTCCAGAGATGCAAAAGCATACTGGCATTCCAGCCAGGTGCCTGGGGACTGACTCGGAAATGACGGGCAGTGAGGGACCTCTGTGATGCCAGAGTGCAGTGCTCTGCTACTGCAGGCACCATGCCATATAACCCTTCTCGTAAACTCCTCAACTTCCATTTTAAAAGTAGTTAAGGTTTTTGTCCCTCTTATTAGAAGGTTGTTTCAGAGCCTTGCTTTCAGATGGTTAAAAAATGGTCTTTAAATCGTCAAACTAAATTTATTCCTGGCCAGTGTACATCCTCTAGTATTGTGCCAAGACTATCCAGTAGATTAAAGAGTTCTCTGATTCATAGCCCTGCTTTCAGCTTCTCCTTTGACAACTAACTACCCCAAGCTCTTTTAAAACACATTTACCTTCTGCTATGCAGTGTGCTCCAGAGCCACAGATATGGCTGTTTCTGCTGCAACACCTCTCTGTTAACCAGAAGTGATCAGGAGTTTTCCATTTTATATTTCAGACACAAATGTTCCAATTTTTTTTTTTTTTACATTTTTCACTTTTTCAAAAAATATGTTCATTTCCTGCAGTGAATACGGAAACAACAGTTCTGTAAAACTCCCACAAACTTCACTTTCTGGGCAGAAACCGAAATTTGAACAAAAACGTTCCAGGCATTGCTGGAGGTGAGACCTGCCACCTGGCTCTCAGCTCCCTTCTCTCCCAGCTCTGTCACCGGGGACAGAGATCTGGGATATTCTACATCCTTTGGATAGTCCACTCCTTGCTGCTCTGGCTTCTAGGGCTAAGCAGGGGTAAGCGGGCAATAGAAAAGCGATGTTCCTACCTGTGGGGCTGGGATGTAAAAGAGAAGGTGGGGGCCCTGTCTCTGTAAACTTGGATCTGACAGGGAAGCAAGCCCTGAGCTGTCAGGTCGGAAACGTCTTGCCAATTCAACCTTCTGCCAGCTGACAACCACTTTCTAGCTGCACAGCCCACAAACTAGAACAAAACATCTATTTTGGTTTTCTTTAAATCCCTTCCTGCAAAAAAAACCCAAACCCAACTCCTCTGCTTTTCCACCTCAGTTCAGGGAGAAAACATTTTCAAAACTGGAAAGTTTTGAAAGTTCTCAGCTTCTGGTCTCAGCAATACCCTAGTCATAGAATTCTGATAACGAGGTTTTGTTCACCGAGCTGCTGCTTGTAGCATTATTCATGATAACTCTCTTTCCTTTCTTAGCCCTTTTCCCTCATGAGATTGTTAAAAGAAAATGAAGACGCAGCTTTTTATCAATTTATGCCCAATGGTTTTCCCCACATCCTTTGTATGCAAACTCGGTCCTTGCTTTCTCCACTTCCATGTTTATCGGTCCTTTTTTCCCCTTTGGAAATCTGATACTGCTAGTGACCTTAGTCTTTACCTGTTTCTAGGTGCTGCCTTCTTTGCCAGAAAAATCACACTTTCTTCCCTGTTGTGGGCCTAATTCAAGTGTGTATTGCCACCAGATTGTGCCATGAGTATAGGCAATAATAAAAGATATGCTGTCTGTAAAACTGAACTGGCTCCAATAGTTTGAAGCATTTGCAAAGGAACTACAGCTGCAGCAGTGCTGAAGTCATGCTCAGACATGAATTTCCATCTGCTTTCTTCAAACACTTCCCTCTTCAACCTGTGCTTCTCCTTTTAGGTTTCATTCGAGTTGGTATACTTAGAGGAGAATTAACGCACAGAACAGAAGGGTTTGTTAGGCCAGATCTACCTGCAGGGAGCAGAGTGGGACCTAGGAGGACCCTCTCGGTAGCACTGCTTCATGTGGGACATCGAGAACATGTTATCTTCCTGTGACAGCAGTCACATCACTCTGCATCTTTCTCCCAAATCATGGCTGACCTATGCGTGTATATGCATGTGTTCACAACTGCACTTCCAGCACATTTTAAAATATGTATTATTTTTTAAAGGATATTTTGGTATAGCATGAAACAGTCACTTTGGAAACTCCCAGCTGGACTTTCTTCACCAGTGACGTCTGCATGATGAACTGTCTCCAAACAGAAAAGTATTCAGGCACAGTAAGATGTGCCACCCACAGACCTTGCTGGCCCGGCGGATCCTCCCCTGGAGCCCCCACACCTCCTGCCCCTGGGCCCCCAGTGCCTGCCTGAGCGACATCGTAGCTGTCTCCAGCTGCGTCATGGCTGTGCCTGTGCCGTGCACCCTTCCGGTTGGTACCCTGACCCGCAGGCTGACTTTCTGGCTTGACCTGGACCTGCCTTGTCCCCATGGGCTTGTGATCACTGGGCTGTGTCTGACCCTATTCCCTAACACGGCAGAGGTGATACCTGAAAAAATTAAGTAGGAAGAAAAACACTACTTATGGGAAAGGAGAATAATATTTATATAATTTCTTAAGTATACCTGAAAATGTGTTTTCTGTTGATGATGGCCCTACTCTGCCCCCACTTACATCTAAAAATTAGTCCTGTGTGCAAACACTGTGTGCACAACCAGAACCAACATAATCAGCTAAATCAATTCAGAAGGGCTACTAGGGCGGTAATCAGGCAGTGTTTTAATTATTATTTTTTCAATATGCTGTACAACCAATCTCCTCAATGCTCCTCTCAGCTGTTGTGCAGATGCAATCGCATGCACAGTGGTGCAGTGCCTTCTACAAGGCTACACGCAGAATGACTTCCCAGTTGGAGTTCCTGGTTCTTAAACTCATGAATAGATTATCGTACTGTAAAGCACTGAGTCTACTAAAGATAGAACTAAGAACTTTCCCCTGGTTCTGTCTAGGCTTGTACTTGAACTAGGACCCTAGGCTGTGCTGCTATGTTGAGCAATCATTCAGTCCCCTGAGCACTTAGCCTTCTGCCTACCATTACTTAGTGTTTAATTATTCCTTCCAACTATGAAATACGATTTCTTCTTATGAAAAACACTAGAGATTAATTTAAGAACTCAGAAAAGACTGTTGCTTTTGGTACTTCTGCTTATATGCGAGTTTCATTAACATGCTATTATATAAACCCTAAAAGAACTGAAAAGTCCTAGAATTGAAAGCCTAGATTAAAATTGTACAAGTTTTAAAAATGGTATACCTCGATCAAAGGCCATTTTCACATCTTCAATGTGCTCAGTGAAGCCTGACACTCTATAGAGGCCCTCGGACTTTAAACCTGAAACAAAAAGTTCCTGGTTAACTTTGCTTCAGCAACGAACAAATATTCAGGCTTAAAAACAATAAAGCAAGAATAACAGATCTAGTAAGTGTAGCAAAATATTGTCATGTGAAACTCTGGAGCATTTAAGGAAGAATCAAGATAATTTAAAATTGTTTTTTAAAGGATTAAAGAATTTTAGAATTTATACTTTCTGATTTTGTTAGGTATGGCTGATTATGTTAGAGGAAAATATTGCAATTTGCTAATGGTGAGGCATGTGATGTTGTCATGATTTATTCATTTTATGTGGGAGATTTTCCTGGATTTGGCTAGAATTAATAAAGCTTTAGCAGTCTCCTTTCCTTTTACTGGTTGCTTAATGATAAATAGCAATGCAAGCAAGAGACTGCCTTTCCCTATGAGCACATTTGTTCCCAGTTTTGCTGTCAGCTTTTACTTATACACAGCTGACAGATGTGATGGATACTGTTCTTCTCCACATCAGTACATCCCTTCTGCTGTTCTTTCACCACAAGGAACCTGCTCACTTGCACAACTCTCCCCCCGTTGCTCCACACCAACATGAAATGCAGGGCAGCCCAGCAGAGCTGGCAGAACTAGCCAAGCAAAGCTACACACACGCTATTTATTTTAATCCCAGAACTTCTTATTGTGACTATGGACAGTGCTAACCTATTTATAAGATCCGATACGCTTTGTTAAGAACGAAATCAGAATCTTGCATAGTTCCATGGCAATTAAAGAAAGAAATTTAAAGATGTAGAAAAAAACAGAGAGCAGGCAGCAGATTTTCTCTTAATCAATAAATGTACAAGTGATTAGATCTCAAATGCAATGTAGCTTCCTGCTATATCATCGGAGTAAAGCTCTTCTGTCTTAGTCCAAACTATTCTTTCTATTTGTCCCTGCAATGATTATATAATCCTGGTAGAGCTTTACAGAGCAGTGCAGGGGATTTACTTGTAAATCTTTGATTCATTTCAGTAGATGATGCGTAGCTTTGAAATCCCTATCGCTAGTATTCAGTGTGTTGCCATGCAGATTACCATGGATGCCATGAATTCAACATTATGAGATTCCTGTGCTGAAGCTATGACTAACAGAGAAATTTGGCTTATTGGGCAGCACAACATAAGCATTTGCTATCCAAAGCAAATATACGTGATCGTTAGTGTGTTATGTTGGAGGGGATATGGTATTTCTTCAACCTGGCACCCTTCTCCATACCAAAAACCTGTCACAAGCTGGAGTTTTGGCTGTGACATGCTGCCTGAGCCATGGTATCCGTCAGTCAGTAACTGAGCATCATGCGAAACCCTGCGCAGTTTGTGGCGTACAACAAAGCGCCACGGACTGAGACCTCACTTGTCTGAGTCACTTCCAGTCACTTGTGTTCTCTTGCCTGTAATGTCCGGAAAGGTTATTAATAAGGGATTTGATTTAAACTGATTACTGTGAAATTGGAAGTGTCCCTAGGTATGTTAAAAGAAAATGAAAAAAGACATATAAACATGAACTTAAAGTTCACTTTAAAGTTCACCCCTTTCAGAAGTGTAACGTAATACATGTTTTGACATGTTTTCAGAAAACATTTCAGGAAATTGCATTATGAAATGCCATGATTTAATTTTACTCGCTAATGCAAAGCAATGTATTACCTACACTAAAAACCCTTTCTCTCCTCCTGTCTTCAACGTGCATGCGCATACTACCCCGTCCCAGCTTAGCACGTAATTCAAGTCATCATTTAATTGTGTCTCCTGCTTTCCTAAGTACACAAACCTCTCGCTTCGATCTCTCGAATGCATGAATCCACAACCATCGGCCTCTGGGTATTGTGGGCTTTCACTAGCGTGGTGAGATCGCAGCAGTAGACTCGCTTTATCCTCTTGAGGTCTGGTTGGCAGTCGTTGGGCACGTATTTGGAGCACTGCTTATGTACGTTCAACCCGCAGTCTGTAAACAAAGTTAGCCAGGTTAGTTAATTAACACTAATGTCGGTAAGTCTTGTCTAACAATTTATTTCCTTGGGCCACATCAAGCAAGGGGCATAACTTCCCTGTCAGTCAGCAAAGCTAGAATAAAGAAGATGGAGATGAGACAGACAAGCATGGAAATCTGTAAAAAACTTATGGTGGGCAAAGTGAACTCCAGCAGAGTTGTTAAAAAGCTATAAAAGCTCTGGATGTCCCTCACACCCCTCTGAGCCCTAGGTGACCACTAGTGTGGTCTGGGTCAGTTCACCGCCAGACACGTAGCTCTAGGTGTTGCATTTGAATGCGTGGGACTTAACTTCTCAGTATTTTAGTTTAGCCTTTTATAAAATCAGCATGGTAATGACTGTCTTCTGCCAGCCAGCTTGTGGCTTAGCGCTGCTAACGGGCGAAGGATCTAAGATTCACCTGAGCACTCAAGCTGGGACAGTGCTTTGAGTTAGCCTGCCTCCCTTCCCTTTCCACATTCCTGCAGTATCACATTTTGGCTCACTCAGCCACATCAGCAGCCTCCCCATCCTTGTCTCATCGCTCCACTGGTGACTAAAGTGTCCCCTGTGTTTAGTCTGTAGGTCAGTTTAGGCATATGAAATGCTGTGAAAGGCATGATGTAAAAAAAAAGTGATTAATTTTACAAATGGTTCTTGGTGTCTTACTCCAGAGTCAAATCCTACTCTTGGTTGCACAGGTGGGTTTCTGTCAACTTAAACATCACTGCTTGATCTCCACAAATTCAATTTTTCTAATAGATCCAAATACTCAGCCAAATGAATTTATAATCCTCAGTAAAGCTAACACCACCATCGTGAGTTACATTATCTCACATAACTCTGATGCCTGTTTTAATGCCTTCTCAGTCATTCCCATCACTGATGGTACCCTTTGGGATAACTTAACATGTCTAATATCATCACTAGCAAGTTACTTACTGTTTTTTTCATGTTGATTTACTGCCCAAGCTATTAAAAATGTAAACACGACTCTTTTACTTGCAGCATATTTCAGTATTATTCTCTATAAAATATTAATCAAGCAAAATTGTATAATCACTGCAAACACACCTACACATTTAATGGAATTGGGTGGGTTTTTTGTGTGTTTCTCCATACAGTTATTACTGCATAATACATTACTGTTCTGCAAAATCTCAACAAATGTGAGCAGCTGCAGTTAGGATCCTCACCGTATTGTTTTCAGTGCTGTTCTCCAAGCATGTGAAGTTAAATCCAAATGCATCTGTCTACTTAGAGTTAAATGTTGGTAATTTAATGAGGGAGAATATTATGTATCATACTAAATAAATAAGCCTTTTCATAAGTTTAATATTTTATGTATGTGAACAAATACAACACTATGCATTAGTGAGGTCAGGTTTTGCACACTTGTGTTTAAAGTCAAATAGCTTGAAAATGAAACTACTATTCATTTTCCTCTTTTTTAATGTCCTTCTCATATTCTTTACATTACCATTACCTATCTACAGGCAGACAGGTTGTAGCCATAGCTGAGACTGCACTTATTAAAACTGCATTTGTGAAAGGTATTTAGATCCTTCGAACCGTGGTCTAAATTTTAGATAACAACCACCTCTTCTACCCATGAAAGGCAGATGTCAGGGTCAGATGTGTTCGGTGCCAGTCTGAGATCAGGAGTGCCTGGAGGTCAGGACAGGGAGAGGTAAGACAGAAGGATATTCAGGTGAGACATGGAAGGGATTGAAGGTCTGTAGAAAGAAGTTATGAAACCACATTTGCAATGCACCGAATACTATTTCTCTTGCTGAATCCAAAAGCTCATGATGTGATGATTATTGCATTTTTCCATGATGATTATTTTTCACAAAAGAACAAACAAATTTAAAATAATTAAAACACTATTAAAATGCTAATACAGTTACAGAGGCACCAGAAAACTGATCTTTCCAGGAAAATGAAGGTCATATTTTTTGCTTTCCCTCGAGGTGGGACACTTCAGGCTTGCAGCAACTCATGGTATTTTTATAGGAAAGAGGTGACAGTCTTTTTGCAGACAAGGGCACTTCTCAGCAATTGGTGGCAAAAATATGAGTTATGAAGCCTAGCTGCTGGTTGGCTCTGCCATTTCCAGGGCTTGTTTCTTAAGACATAAAAAAATATCAGAGATAACTTAACCATAAAGATCAATTCTTAATGTATACACCAAGGCACACAGATGACCGAAAGGATGTCACCCTCAGCGACCAAGGGCTGGTGGCTTCATTTCTAAACCAGCTAATGGGGAAAATAAGAATACTTTAATTTGAGCAGGAGGGTTTCTTGCCTTGTTCTGTAAAGTAATCCCTACTCTCCCTCCTGCAGGGAGTACAGGCTGGGGGTGGGAGAGATGTCTGAACATTTCAAGAGAATGACAGAAAATGTTGAAGGGCTACCTGAACACCTCACTCCCTGAGCGATGAGACCCCACATGAAGTTGGCGCAGTATTCACACCAGTGCGGACCTCGAAACGTATGGACCTGTAATACAAATGGGGGAAAAAAAAAAAAGGGGTCATTGGGAGGCAGATGGTCTGACAGATGGAACAACTGAAATGGATAAACAACAGAAGACTCAGTAGGAGTAAATCTTTAGCACACAGTGCCCACATCTTTCCAAAGTCTAGATGAAATAAACCACGGGAACAGAAATTTGCTTTGATCTTGAAATTTATCTTTCAATAGGCTTAACATAACAGAGAACCAGGCTGTGTATGACACTGAAAACAAGTAATTTTTGCTAGCTGACATTTTAGCTATAGCGGAGGGGAGGAAACCAGGTTCACTAGTCAAAGGGGAAAAAGTAAACCCAACAATCCAAGGAACTGTAGTCAGTACTTTTATTTGACCAGTTCAGACAAAACAGCAATGTTTCTGAGATTCAAATGCTCTTCAACAGATCATTTGAAAGTAGGGGAAATCCAGTGACAGAAAGTCCCTTCCAGCGCACCGCGTTCTGGTTCCCCATAACCGTGTGTGACTTCAGATCTGATGAAGACCCATGTTCTCAGAGCACCACTCGGGTTTGAACGCACTACAGCTATGGTGTTACACATGCATTTCTATGCAACAACATTGAACAAAACTGGAAACGATTGCTGTAAATCTGTATCAGGGATGAATGATTTGTGCAGCCACTCCAGGCAGCGATTGGCTAATTATCTGATTTTGCACACTGGAATCAATTAATGAGAAAAGCAAACAACACCCTTCCCCACTCTAGCAAGTAAACTGAACTCACATAGGGAAAAGATGTCAGTAGGCTCAGTAGACTGAACTTCATGTTGCTGCAGTCCACACAGGAGTAAATAAGGAGGAATAAAATGACCTGTGTGCTGACAGAGCCTACGGCTCCCCAGCCAGGTTTTGCACATCACCGCTGTTTCCTTCACTACTTTTGCAAAGGCTACGGTGGAAGACATTTTCATTTAAGATGTATGTTCTGGTAAAATAAGCATTTCATTTTCATTGAAAAGAAGAGTAAATAGTGAGGTCTACGCCTGTGTGAATGGACATGGTATGAGCTAGTTCTGGCCAGAGACTTAATTGAGATTAACAAAACATAAATCATACACACTCCAGCTGCTAATGCTTCCTCTTCCTTCCCTCTGCTCTTGTTTACCCATTGGGTGGATGGCTGAAAGGCCACTTCCATCCTCTGGGATGGAGAAAGCTGCTCTTTACTTTTCACAGAGTAAAAAAATGGTCATTGCCCTTTTCAAATAAACTTTGTGAAGTTTTAAGCCAACCATTTGGCTTGCTAATGTTTTTGCCCCTGCAGGATTACACCTAAACAAGCCTGTACTCGAGTCCATTCCCCAGGAAGATGAAGTATTGTGATTTTAATACAGACCTCTCTTTCTGATTTAGTGATAAAAATGTGAGCCTGACCACAAATGACTCCTGACCAACTACTCACAGTCAATGATTGTGTGAATAAGTTTAAAGCAATAGTAATTCTTCCTCTCTTTTCATAGTAAAAGGTCAAAACTGGAATGTCTGACTGGTCATATTTAATTTTTTAGATGGTATTTTGCCTCTCAGAAAAATGTGTATCTCTGGGAAACAACACTTTGCAATAACGTTTTAGATAGATAGATAGATAGACAGATTATACACACATACTTTCTCATTTCATCTTAATTTTATTTTGCAGGGTGGGTAGCATGAATTTCAGACACAGCTTTTAGTGGGGGTAAATAACTGTACCTAACATCAGCTGGTGACCTGAGTTTCAGGCATGTGCTCTATGTGACCTTCAGTGGATACAAAACTACGGGTACGAACTAATTATGTCTGCATCTTCACCATTTTTAGACTGATAACCACATAATTAGTAGGTCTGCACCTGCATTTAATTGTGGGTGAAAATCATCTGCAGTGGGAAGATAGCTAACTATGTGTCCTGCTTTGCAACGGTTTACAAAAGCTAACTTTGTGAAAAGTGGCTGTAAAAGCTCATTCAGGATTTTTAAAACCGCACCATTTCGTATTTAAAGTCCATCACAGTTGCTAGGATATTTGGGGCCTACTTGCTTACTTTACATAAAGCTTATTTCAGCTGATCTCGCTGTGGCATATTTAGCAAACGGTAGCTGATTATTCCTTGATCTCTCCTGTCATAAATGGGAAAGTCATCAACGCTGACTGAGGGATCCATCTGAGAAGTGCTGACTGTGCACCCTTCCCTCGTTCCCTTCAGCTTGGTGGCCTTCAAATGTTTAGTTCTCTTTATTCATCCACTTCAATTTTCACAGATCTGTGTTTTAGCTCAAATGGCAAGTTCTCAGCTGAAATGCCCTGTGAAAAGCTAGTCTTGGTGGTTTCTGGTCAAGTTGAAACAGGGAAATATTCGCTATCTCTAACTGAAAAAGGGAGATCTTCAAAAGTTTCTAGACGAAGGTGCAAAAAATCTCTTAAGATGCAGATTTGAACTATGTGTCTTATGGCTTGCCATTAATTTTAAAGAAATAATGAAGGAAGTCTGTTCTTATGAACACAACACTTGAATGCAGTCCAAAGCTTGCACAACACAATTTTGAATGGTAAATGGGAATTTTGCCTGCAAGATTGGCCTCATCTCTATTTCAAACAAGGCAGGTCTTAGGTTTTTGAGATGTGTTCTTAGTTTTTGCCCCATCCTTTGTAACTGCATCATTACAAATGGACTGGGCTTAGATTTTTTGGAAATATGATCAAGATCTATTCACTACTGGTCCCTGCCCCATCCTGCAGTCTCAGGAGACCTCTCTGTCCACACAGCATAGGCTCAGGCTGCTTGGGCTACAGCTGACAATTCCAACTTTAAAAAATAATTTACAGGGAAGTTTTTCTTCATATAAGCCAACACCACGGTGTTTCAGACTATACACTGTACTTTTCTTGTTCAGTCTTTCATTTTCTTTCCACAATGTCTAACTCCTAACTTCTTCACTCTGTTTCCTTTCCAGCTCTTTCAATGAAAAGTTGTTTTCTTACATTCATCCTCTTTTCTCTGCTGGCCAGTCTGACCCAATACTACACCGCATGTCTCTTCTTACTGCCTTCCTGTGCTCTCCCCTTCGTCCTTCAGCCCTCTGGTGCCCTTGCTTCCAAACAGCAGAATTCCCCCCGTGGGTGCTATCTCATTTGGTTTTAGTCTGTGTCTGAGCCATCTTCACAGAGGGAGAAACTGAGACCAAAGTTAAGGAGTGCCAATACAGTGGCAAAACAAAAGAATCCCTTAAGCAATATTGCAGAAACAAACTAAAAAATTGCCTTGAATTGAAACGCATGTGTTTTTTATTGGCATTATATAGTGCTGTTTCAGAGACAATTTTGTTGTTTATGTGACTGGGTTTGAAGATTTTTCTGTTTGTCTCCAAAGAAAATAAGTTTTTTCAGACTTTCATCTGAATACATGCACATTTGTACTCTCCTGTGGACTCCGGCTGAACCTGAGCCGTCTGCAAGGAAGAAAAGCTGACTCTGCTGTTATTTTTGTTTAAATACATACACATAATCTTCATGATGTCTGTAAAAAATGCCTCCCCCAAACCCTTTGTCTCCCAGAAGCAGTGTTCATCTGCAGTGATTAACACAAGGGGAAATTTATCCCAGAGCCTCCTTTCTCCCAGCAGATCTTCTGATTTGTCCATAATCAGCTGCCTTTACTCCACTAGCCCGCCTGCAAATGGGATCTGCCCATGCTATAGTGGCAAACAGGCACAATATTGTGGTAAATGCCCATTCTTCAGCTGTATTTGCTCACTTAAAGCAGCACAGAGGCCCTCTCATGAATTCCCAGCCTAGAACAAAACGTGTGGAGCATCCTCAAACTCTACGCTGTTGCCCTCGGATATGAGGTTGACCTCACCACCAGGTGGGACCCCACTGAAGTTGGCAGGTAAAGCACATCCCAAAGACCCTGCTGGATCCTAACTATAACGAAATGCAAGAGGACTTTGTGATCCAGTTAGGCTGACGCCCACATAGTTACAGAAATACCTCTGTGTTTTTCTAAACAGGGCTTCAGAGATTTATTCTCTTTCCTGAATTATGGTATGTCTACACTGGCTTATGCAAAGTTGTTCCGCCAGACAGACGCCAGCTCCAAACCTAAATCCATGTGACTGCGTTGTGTGCTCAGGATGAACCTAGCTTAACAAATCAGTCTGGATACTCAATCTTTTTTTGTTCATTTGCCTTGAGTGCCTTGAAATTTGGAAGAAAGGCTGAAGGAGAAAGCATGGATGCTCAGAAGGGCATAACCTGGTGCCTTCAGACTCCAAACTCCAATGCTCCTTTTTAACCTTTGTATTAGCTTATTAGCTTGGAAAGGATGGAGGGAGAGCCATCCTTGCTCTGAATTTGTGCATTGAGTCTATTTCTTCCTTTTGTTCCTTCTCTCTTCCAGTAGGTAAGATCTTCAGTATAAGATCTACAAAAATCTCATTAGCTTCACTAAAAACGTGCCCTTCGTTTTTAAGATTCTTCATGGCTAAAGGACAAGAGCTAAAGAGTATCTGTTCATTCATGAAGAATTGCCTATGACAAGATTATGAGGGACACTGTGACATGTAACCTTTGTCCCTATGAACTGAGATGAATGATACAATACGTGTCAGTATTCAACTAAAAATGGGGAAGACAACTCTTTGAATGTCTGCAAAATAGCATTTTCCTTCAGATAAATGCCGTATCATCATAGCCTGAGTGCTGTCAAAAGCCATTAAGAATTTTGCCCCAAGACCCATAAAGCCATTCTTTCTCTTTTAAATAATTTCTTAACCCTTTTGTGTAATGAATATAGAATAAATTAAAGAGATTAGACTTGAATTTAGCCATCATTTAAATCTAAATATTCTACTCTAAGCATTCTATCCACATTTTTTGTTCAACAACTAGACATGTTCTAATATATTGGTTTGGAAAACTTACTGTATTTACATAGTGAACATATCTGTTCATTATGTAAATGTAACACTTTTGACTGGTCTTTCTGGACAATTTTTAAAAAAATGTTTCTTCCTTAAGTTTTTTATTGCCTTTACTAGGATAAAAGAATAATTTTCTGCTGTCAAGCCTTTGAATACATATGTATTTTAATCATGTTATTTTCCAGTTAGAGTATGATTCTTTTGAAACAGAAAGGAACAGAGACTGTACAACAGCTAGATTGTGCAAACGCAAAGTTAACTGGGCACATGTCCAATTATAAATCAAAGCCAAAACAAGGGGAATTTTGAAGAGGAAAGAATGCATGGGTCAAAGTGGAAAAAAGTCTCAGTCATGAGAAAATATTTTCTCGTTAAACTAAAATAGTTTTGATATTAAAATGATAATGAGGGCAAAACCCAGAAAGTATGAAAGCTGGTTTAATCAAGCAAGAAAACACAGAGTATTTCCCCTATTTCCTTCAGTGCTGATCAGTGAGATACTGACTTTTCTGTAGAGTGGGTCAAGGAGGGGGAATGAGAAGAGGGATGCTATTATTTGCTTTGCTCACTAATATTAAATTGTTGATTTACCAACTACAGCAGAAGCACTGCAGAGGACAGCAATGTCTGCACAGCAGAGTATGTAGAAAAATAAGAAGTGAAGCTTTTTTGCTAAACCAGGAAATCGGTGAAATCATTTTAATCAGCACTTCTCCTTTTTTGATAGGACCAAGATGACTATCAGAAAATTCTCTTTCTGCTAATGAGTTGAACTATTCTGACAGTGACCCAGATCAGCATCCTCAGTGAGCATTAAGTAAACTGAGGTTTCAAAGCTGAGATTCCTTTCTTGTCTTGTTTCTGCCTCTTATCCCCTCTGTATCCATCCCGATAAGCACCAAACCACAATTTGACAGCATTAGATATGTAACTGGCTGGCATACTCTAAAACCAGCACAATCCTTTTGGCAAAACATTTTAGTACAAGCTGCCTGGAAGGTCTGTTTCCAAAGCTGAGTCACTTCCCTGCTGCAGCATGCCAGACACAGCACTTGGGGGGGGGGGGGAACCCTAAGAATCACATTTTCTATGTAAGACAGCAAAAAGATGATCCATTTAAACATCCCTGTGTTTGTCCAGCTATTTGGTTTAGTTTGACAAGCAAACACAAGCTCAGATCCTATAGCTCAATGGGGCTCTGAGGGCATTTCCTTAGCATATGGTGGTGGAACAAAAGCTGGGAGACAATACCACCGCCGTGCTCTGCTTTATTGTTAGGGAGCACCTAAAATTGGGTCCAAAATGTTTGCTGGTAAAATGCTAATGGCTTCTGATAATAGGTAGATTTTGAAAAGGGGCCTTTTTCTCATTTAAAACCGGATACACTTTAAAGACAATCAATATGAAGTACTTTGCTTCTGAACAAAAAAGAAAACTGAATCTGGGCAAAAAGAGCTAAAATGCCAGTTAATTAGTGGAGTGAGTAGCAAAGCCGTTATTTGGATTAAGTGTCTATGTAAAAGCATATTAAGAATGCAGTCAAGGGAACTTAAAGTATAAAGAGAAATGCTTTTTTAACACTTTTCTCAAAGCTGGTATAGATTGGTGTGTGAAAATCCCATCACAGCAAAAAATAAAATGTGAGCCATCTAAACAGAACTTTTTAGCCGAAAATAATAGGAAGTTGTGCTTACCTTAAAATTGTGTGCTTTTTCATAGTTGAAGTGGTTGTCGTTTTGAGTTAAGGCTGCTCTTCTGACCAAGGAGGTGATCTGTGAATAGGCAAAGAGTTTCAGAGGTTGCCACAAAAGTGCCCCCTTGACTCCCACCTTCACCCCCAGGGCCACGGCCAGGAGCTCTTGGCGCTTCCTTCCTCTCTTCGACTTGTGAACAACGGCACAGTTTTTCTCATTATTTTCCAGCCACAGATCCTCCGAGAACATAGCGCTGGGATCCCAAATCTTTTCCCTGTCTTCCTTGGCTCCCGGGAGCCTGACTGTAGTCAGTACGGTACAGTTTGTCCAACTGCTTCTGATGTTAGACAGCAGATTTGAAGCAGCTGCAGCCCATTCTGCCGAGACCTCTGGCATGTGACTTGAATGGGCCGTCTTGTGGGATGGAAGGAGCTTCTGCATCTGAATAAGTAACGGCCTGTGCCGTGCGATTTCTTAAGGCAGATGTGTGCCTCGAACAATAGCCCGAATTCATACACTGAGCAACCTTCTCCCCCCCGCCCCTCCCCGAGTGGTGGTCTCCGGCTAGGTGCTGCTGAAATACCGGCCGGGGAGTGGAAAGCGCTACAGCTTCACGCCCAAAGGCATTTCCAGGGACAGCTCGCTTCAACTCCGCAGCGTGTTAAAAATGAACAAACAAACAAAAAGCCCCAGGAAAGCCCACACAACTGAATCCGATGCTGCATCCAATTACACTCAGACTCAAAGACTTATCAGCCAGCAGTCTGCATGCCAACAGATTAAGCCCTTAAGACCATGATGATTGTTTAATCTTACAGGGTTAAAAATCCTTTTTTTTTTTTTTTTCCCCATATCCTGTACAAGGCGAAAAATCCAGCAGCACTCCAAGCATTAATAGCACTTTTATGCCATGTTTTAAACCAGAACATTTTCAGAGGACTCTTCCAACCCCTACCATTCTGGGATTCTGTGATTTTGCTGGTGTGCGCTTGGTAGCACGGAGTTAGCTCACTGTCAGGGAAAGCTGGAAGCCCACCTGGGAGGATGCAGGCTAGGAAGCCCCCGAGCCCTGTGCAGCACGCGAGTGACGGCAGCAGGGGAGCTTCACATGGAAGCCATGTGCACAGCCCTGTTTGCAGAACAGGGTCTGCAAGGTAGCAAGAGCAGTCATCCATTGCTCTGGTTACGTGCATCTATAGATTGGGGAGGGGGGAAAACTGATTTCTAGTTAAAGCCCAGGGACAGGAGGGATCTGGGCCCTGAACAGCCAGTGCTACAGCTTACAGTGTTACTTTGGACACCTGATTCACTTCTTTATGGACAGGTAGTTCCCTGTCCCAAGACACAGACGTGTAACACTGAGCATCCCCTGGGAAGCACGTTCGGTGCCCCCTCCCCACCGGCTTCACTCCCTCCAGTTCCCCTCTCCTGCTCCCTTAGTGAGTATGTCCATTCTCCACCCCTACGAGGAGGACAGGAGTTACTTGCTCGGCAGAGCACTGTGAGATTTAATTCTCTAAGGTGTGTCTAACGCTCAAGATGCTGCGACAGAGCAAACTGGGGGGTTACCAGCACTACTGGGAAAACTGCCTGTTTGAACTAGAGACACTGAAGAGCACATCAGCCTTTTACAGTATGTCCCACTTCAACTTACTCAGAAAATACATGAAAATAAAGTGTTTAATTCACTTATGTTAACTTGTGAAGTTGAACTTCCTCTATTTTCTCAGTCTGCTTTTACCTCAGGCTGAAAAGTCAGAAGGTTCATCTAATTTACTTACTAAAACCTCCACCACATAGACTGCCTGCTCTTAGTAAAAGCAAAGCTCTCCTGATTTGAAAGCCCATGGGGACAGATGGTCGGCTGTCAGTAACATCAGGCCATGCAATTTCAGATAGTGCCCTACATAGGGTTTTCAAGAAGTTGTGCTACCTGCAAAATCAGCTTCTCAGCTATAAAATGATGCACGCACTTCTGTGCACAGCACACTTAATTCCTTTCTTTTCCAGGTAACTCACAGTACCTCTTTTTATGTGCTCCCATACTCCAAAGCCTCTGCTCCCCGATAGGGAGGATTTCCACAAACCCCCGTTGCTCCCCAAGCAGTTGCTGCCTGCCAGCCTTTCCCCAGGGCTCGGCACTGTTATCTGACCACCGGTGACAACTGGCTGTGATGTATGCATGAACATTGCCCTGCCTGGAGGAAATCCCTGCTGCTCTTCCATATGTCCTCCCACTAGTGAGTCCTGATTTCTGCTAGCTCAGGACCTTTATCTGCTTTCCAGCAGATAAAGACAGACTATAGCTCCCCAGCTCGTTCTCCACGTATTTCAAGAGATGAGGAGCACTGGTTTTAGGGACATCTCTGACCCCATCAGTGGCAATGGCTTCGGTTTGGACCCTCACGAAGGAAACTTCGGAGCAGCTTGAAGTTCTTATCACACTCCAGTTTCCTTCCTCAGTACCATTTTAAATGTATTTACATTTATTGGGAACAAAATCCTCAAACTAGCTCTGAAGCTACAGCATCTAAATCCCCACATACATATAAGCTACTTTCTCTCTGACTTCCAGCATAACGGATCCAAAGTCAGAGAGAGGTCGGTTTCCTAATAATGCTCGAATATTTGTATATATGTCACTAGACTGATAAAAATCCCATTACATAACCAGTATTTTTTACATAACATGGCAGATTTGATACTCAAGCCACAGGCTTATGATGATACATCTTGGAATTTCTATTTATTAAACTATTTTTGGAGTATCAGAGTGTCATCCTGGGATCAGACATACAGTACTATATTTAATGGAAACTCTGAGTGTTCACACAGAAGCATGAAACTTAGACTTGGAGGAGGAGAACTCAGACAAACAAGTTCATATGACTAAGGCAGATCAGTATTTACTGTTTATCATATATGAAAATTTATTTATCCCCTAGGTTGCTTTTTCTGCCTTGCTTGGGCCTTGTTTAGACAGTTGTTTAATGGGATCCTTTGCAAACACAGGATGTGTACAGAAGGCCAAAAGTGAGTTTTCTTAAGAAGCTTAATCATGCAAAACCCTACCACATTTGGTGTCTAAAATGGTGCTGTAAAACTGAGATGAGCTGGACCATGTATATAACCCCTTTCTAAATGTAACGCAAACAGCAGCAATGACAAATTCTTAGCAGCAGCCAGTTCTAACATACTGATACCACAGGCCAACCGCAGTGCTCTCTTTTATCCTTTTTCTGAATACAAAATTTACTGCACATGGTGCAAACTCATTTAAAGAGCATCTCTTGATCAAGTTAGCAAGTTAGCCTGCAGCTAAGGAGAAGAATGCCAGCAGCTAAGAATATTATTGCTGGTTGTCACCAAATGTCTAAGCTAGTGAGGGCTGAAATGCAGATACAGGTTATCTGCATTTTCAGACCAAAGGATTTCTGTGTAACATATAAAATAGTTTACTAGTCTCTCTGTAAAAAAACACATGTACTGTATAGCAAATTGGGCATTTACAGCAAAATAAATGTCACTGAACTAGAATAATAAAGTTAAAAAGGAGGGGGAAGAGGGCGACTCGGCTGTTGCGCCATTTCCAGCATGCCTTCGCCGAGCGGGCTGAGCCACACCATTGTCTCTCCCCTCAAACACTGGCAGCTTGTTTGCTAACAAAGGCCTCGGGGGTAGGAAAGAACAAATTGTAGTATGAAAAGCTTTTGGTTTTGTACATGTGGCACGATTTCTGTTGTAGTGGTGTGGGCAGCGCTGAGGATTCACTGGAAGAAAGTGGTGGGGGAACTTTGCATGCCGCCCAGCTCCTCTGTGCCATCTCCAGCATGCCAGGAAGAGACGCTGCAGGAGCGATGGCTCCTCTCCACCCGCCGCTGCCATGCCCACACGGGCTGGCAGGGAGGGGTTATGGAGTGGCAGGTCCTTGGCTCGCCGCTCTACCTGCTGAAGGACACAACTATGGCGGGCAGAGGAGCAGCACGGGCATGTCTCCTTGGACGACACCACAAGCGAAAGGGAGATTACTCCGTGATGAGGAATTGTGACAAATCCATGACTGATCTCTAACTAAATACACTTTAACACCGCACATAGGTACAGTCATAGGTCAAAGAGAGGCCTGTTTCCTCGCAGGCACGGCATACTCAGTAATCTGCCAGATTATGTTTGCTCAATTGCAAACACGCCGTGGAGATGACACATGGTGCAGGAATCTCACAGCTATCGGGTTTTTCTCCCACAGAGCCCTTCCCACGATGTGCTCAGGAGACAACACCAAAGAGGCTGACTCTTCGCAAAACACAGAGCATTGTAGGTGAAATGGTGGTGGAAGCTAGTCAGCCAAAGGCCTTCGCCAATACTACAATGCTGCCAGCCTGTGCCATGGCACTGGGAGCTGCCATTAAAAGGCTTCTGTGCTGCTGAAACAGTGGGAGGAAACAAGCTCCAAGCAGAAAACGTACTGAACACGAAGCAGAGCACAATGCCTGCCAAGTGGCACTTGCCAACCCCATCTTGCAAAACCCACTTTCCCCAGAAACCCTCCCTTTGGCGGGAAGCTCTTGACGTCAGCGAACAGGGAGTGCAGAGGTGAGTGGGGCCAGGAGGCTCCACAGTGGAAAGCTCGGGGTTAGGAAAGGAGTCAGACTGCACACAAACCAAGCCGCTGCTGCTGCTCTCTGGTTTGCTTTTGAGGAGAACACAATCTACTTGCTCGCGGGGAATCAAAAATACACAAAAAAAATTAGCATTAACTGGCTGCCACCCTCCTCTGTTCTACAGAGCTCCAACTGCAATCGCTGAGAGCTGCCCCTGAACGCAGGTCCATCTGGGCTCCTCAAAGGTGCCGTCTTGTCCACTGAAAACCCAACAGGCTCTTGCTTCCAGCACAAAACTTCCCTTTGGGTGAGCTGGAGTGAAAAAAAAGCACTGCAGGTTTTTTTAAAGGATTAAGATACAGCTATAATTTTGCTTGTTACTCCTCAGAATTTCAATTTTCTTTTTATTTTAATAACCACCAGTCCCTCTGCAAATCATGAGTCTGAGGAGCTGTCAACAATATACGTGTTTACGGC